GTGTGCAAGCTGCTCTCCCCTGAAATCTGCATGTGCGGCTTGCTCTCCCACTTGAGCGGAAAAGAAACTTCTTGACCCCCGCCAGGGCGCTGCCCTTGGACCCGTCAAGGGGCGCTGCCTCCTGGACCCCCTCGAGCTAACCGGGTAGCTCGACCCCCGACATACTCAGCGAAGTGGCAAAACTAGGATCGCTACATTGCACAAGAGGCACATACATAAATCATTTATCAAAAATCAATTCAAAACACACTCCACACAATACTAAGATCGAATTAAATGATGGGATTAAAGGAACAACTTGCATTAATCCAATTCAACTCCATTTTATTGTTTGTAAAACATCACGAAAAGAACTACTCAAAGGTTCTTCGAAGGAACATAAACTGTTCATATTCCCATATGCCTACATATGAAACACAACAACAAAGAAGAGCTAACAGGATTATTACATACCAGAACCACACCCAACAAAGCCCAGCACATCTCCAAAGAGACAGCTTGTAGCATACAAAAGTCCCTGCACCAGAGGAATTTTAGCAATTGAGCTACAATCCATAGAGTGATCCCTATTTCCTTACTCTTGTACAGAATGATAAAACATGTTAACTACCAAACTCTCATGTTAACACCAAGCAAATGGCAGATTAAGTTAGTTAATCTACGTTAGTTACAAGATCATAATGTGATTCCCTTTTACTTAGTTACAAGATCATATTGTGATTCCCTTTTACCTTGAGTGAGATGGGGCAAATAACCCCAAGTACAAGCAGATGTAAAGTAAGATTGTCCTATTTTCAACCATCTATCTTTTCTGCCTACTTTTGTCATTTTCAAATTCATTATGTCCTTTTAACCTATTCCACCCCCCAACCTACTCTTTTTGGCGAAATTCTCTTTAATTCCCCTGTAATTTTTGCCTTGAGCACTCTGTGCCATGAAATTTAAATAAATGCAAAACACTCGTGGTTTTGGCAGAGCAAACTTACCATTTCGAAGTTCTCCAACCAAAATAATTGTTGTTTGGGTGCCACAAAGTGACATTTTTGGTGACTAAATTTTTTTAGTCTTCAAAAGTAGTCGCCAAAGGTGCAAATTCTTGTAGTGACTATGTGTGATAAAGGATACAACTAACACATCACAATCTCTCATGCTTTATCCTACGTGGTTTTCCACTAGTTATTTTACACCACCCATATGAGGGAACAAGATTTCACAAATAACATCACTGATGAAAGTTAGAACACCCATTGACATGGCCAGGTAAGGTCAAATAACTTTTGAATTTTAATCACTTACAGAAGGCACATTTAGGATTTTAATGATTTTTGAATGATTTCAGTTTCAAAGAAGAGCACTGACAACTAATTTTGATTAGCTATGTGCACTGAAGTTTGCCTAAACACTAGTAAAAGTTGATTCGCTTCAAGTTGAAGGCACCCGGGGGGGGGGCTGTTCTGGGCAAGAACAAGGTCAGCTGGCATCCACAAATTACTACACAAATTTAAAATTCAAACACAATATAAACAACAAGATGAAGGAACTTATTTACTAATTATTATACTTGCACCAAAGATTCTACTACAAAAAAAATCCAAATTAAATGTGTGCCTCTTGCTTTTTCTCCATCACCAACCTCCCAATCTAACACCAAAAGCCAACAATTCCCAACCCCCTTCATTCCAAATATCTATCTACCCAAATTCAACCTCACAACAATCACTTTTCTACTGCCCCTTAATTCCAAGACTGAATCCCTTAGCTATACTGTGCTCAAAACTATTTAAGGCTCCGTTTGGATAGATGTGGATTTGAAATACATGGATTTTGAAATTAATTATTCAAGAAGAATTACTCAAATTTAGTTTTGACATTAATCGTAATTTAAGATCTAAAGTAGAATAATGTAAATTATGTTTTCTAACTATAAATTTTCCTTTGTCTCTAATTCTTTATTTTGTTTACACACACACACAAACACAAACTAACTGTTCACATTAAAATATAATCTGCTTGCCATTCACAATAGCCAAACCAAATGCTTCTAAGGTAAAGAAAGATTTTTACACATCTCAACAATTAAACAGAACTCTACAACTTCTGACTCTAATTCATTTTCTTTTGTACAAGATTTTACTAGATTAATAAACAAAATTATAATATTTGCAAAATAGGTAAGATGATTCACTTACCTCATCTTCGCTTATAAGATCTAGTTTCCTCATCAGGTACTTTTGGATAAAAGAAACAGGTACATTCCCATCCCTATTACAGAACAAATGCACGAATTTCTTCAGCCAATTAGTGTCCAACCTCGGTAACAAAAGCAACCCATTAAAGTTCTTAAATAGATAATTTTTGTAAAAGTACTGGCAGAAACACTAGTTCCTAAGAAGAGAACCAAATTCATATGCTTGAGCGGTCCCATCCCAGTTGAAATCGAATTCTATCTTGACGGGAACGAGGTTCAAACAAGATTTTGACTCTGAACCACATAATTGGGGTTCTAGAGCTGCAATATTGCCCCGGTAAAAGTTTCCTGCAACCAATGGCTTAATATATACATGTGTGTATATATATATATATACAGTAGCTAAAATTTACCTTTGATGATGAAATTGTCAATGCCACTTGAAGGAGAGGATTCTGATGATGAAATTGTCAACCTCAAAATTTGGATTTTCTTATGAAAGAACTAGAGATTGTTTACATTTTCTAGGAAAATATGGTGGAAAAAAATAATTATTTAAATTAAATACCATACCTTTCCCATAGCAGCACCAAAAAGTGTAATGGAAAATGATTTGGGCTGTAGTCTACGAGTCTTGTGGAAAATCATTTTTGACACTCAAATTTTTTCCATATCATTCCAAATCATTTCCAACAAAATTTACCAGAAGCTGTTGCAGTAAAAATCAATCAAATACAACCAGTGTTTCAGAATAGAACCCTACACACACACACCACACACACACACACACACATACATATATATATATATATATATATATATATTTTCTTGATTTCATTAATTAATCCAGCCGAAAGGGGGTCATAGAGAGGGAAATAAGGGGTTTTGCAGAGGGGTTTGGGAAGAGGGTTTCACCTGGTGGTAAGGGAGTTGCAGAGAGAGGGAAAGGAAGGGAAAGAAGAGATAGATTGAGAAGGATACATACAATGATGAAGAAAAGAGCTACAAGCAAAAATGTGAATGAGGGAGGAGCCGCCGATCGAGCTTCCGTGGGTGATGGATCTTAGGCAATGGTGACCAACAAGGAGGTGAAATAGAGAAACGGGGACAGAGAGAGACAGAGAGAGAGAGACCGAGGTCAATAAACCCAGAGACAGAGAGAGAAAGACAGACCGAGAGTGAGTGAGAAAGAGACAGATCGAGAGTAAGAGAGAACCTAGGAGGATGCAGCGGTGGTCATTGTGATTTGCGGCGGCGGCAGTGGTGGTGGTGGTCTACACTGAGGTGAGGTTGGGTGAGGTTTGGTGCTGACAGAATCTAAGTGTGAGAGAGAGCACCAGATGTGTAAAAATAAACAGGCGCTAACATTTATTTATTTCCCTCTAAAATTTCATTCAATCTTTAGTGAAAAAACTACGAATTTGTCGGCAAATAGTGGGGTTTTAACGGCGACCAAACCATTAGTCTCCAAAAGTGAATATTGGTCGACTAAAAGTTCCTGGTAGCCAAAGACTAACAGTAAATATGTCTGTTTTGGGTTGGAAACAAAATACATATATAATTAATAACAATTCACTAATTACTTTTTAATTCCTCCAAAATTTGAAATCGCCCTCCAAATATTTTAGTTTTTTAGTGACTAAAATATTATTTTGTCGTTGAAAATATACTTTTGGTCGCCAAAGATAAAAAATAATTCTTTTCTTTTCATTCGGCTACTAAACAATTTTAGTAGCTAAAACTAACTATACGGCTACTAAAATATTATTTTGTCGCTGAAAATATACTTTTCGCAGTTTGGTCGTCAAATATAAAAAATAATTTTTTTTTTTCATTCGGCTACTAAACAATTTTAATAGCCAAAACTAGCTATATGGCTACTAAAATTTTTTTAGTCGCCAATTGTGATATTTTTAGCGACTAAATTTTTTTTAGTCGCCAATAATCAATATTCCTCGACTAAAAAAAATTAGTAGCTAAATATTTGACTTTTGCCGACTAATATTGTTTTTGGCTGCCAATTCCACAATTTTTGGCGAATAAATTTTTTTTAGTTGCCAAAAGTGATCGCCAAAAGTGCATTTTGTTGTAGTGTATATACACCTTGCATGGTAGTATAATTTTAGGATAAACAACCATACAAAAAACCATTTCTTTCTACAAAATAGTGGGCTCCTACATAATTTTAAGCATTGTTTTTATACAGATTCCATGCCAATTTTGAATGCTCCAAATGTGTGCTTCCACCTCCTCACTATTAAGAAACCAAGATTGCCACTCAGTTTCAAGTTTACTTTGTTTAATGTGGCCATGATTGAACTTGGCTATGGAATGCCTGAGTTAAACCTCTATGCTGCCTCTGTCTTCTAATTTTTTTTTTTTTTTTTTTTACCCCTTCGATCTATAACATTATAGTATGAAATTTTACTCCGATCAAAATAGTCTGTGGTATGGTATCTAAAGAATTAATATACTAGTTTGCAAACAAGCCATTTTCCAAAATCTTACTCAATGCTTTAAAACTTAAATAGTTGATTCTGATGGAAATTTCCATCGAAGCCTCATTTTTGTTTGCTTCAAGAAAATTACAATTATCTATGTAGCTTACACAGTCACTCGCACATATAAACAAAAATATTGTTATTGAGAGATAAAATTAAGGCCATCATACCACATTTTCTATTGGGATTAAAACTATATCAACAAACTATAGACTCACTTCTGTTCAAAAAAAAAAAAAAAAAAAAACTATAAACTCAAAAAAAAAAACTATAGACTCACTTTTCACACTAACATTAGAAACAATATGCAGAGTATGGCATGGGTGACCTGGCTTCCACACTAGGGGATGTATATAGCTTTGGGATTCTTTTATTGGAGATATTTACAGGTAAGAAACCAACTGACGAAATGTTTAAGGATCATCTAAATCTTCATAACTTCGTTAAAAATGCTTTGCCTGATCGAGTGATGGAGATTGTGGATCCCTTTATTCTATTGGAGCATAACAGAAGAAGTTGGATTAAAGACTGCATAGTTTCCATTTTGAGAATTGGGATTGTATGTTCAATGGAATCACCAACAAATCGAATGGAAATGGGGAGTGTTATTAGCCAATTGCGTGAGATCAAAAATACATACATGAATGAAGGGTTGAACCAAGACTAGGAAGTTGGAAGAGATTTTGCAACATAAAAGGCAAAGGTGTGTATCATATCTTCTTGACCCATGCATATTAAAATGAAAAATGTTATACGCAAACAGATTTTTTACTTGATTTTCTTACCACTAGATACAAAAACATTGACTTCCATGTAAATTTATTTATATTATGAGCCCTACTAAATTTGTGACTTTTTGTAAGAAAATCTGATGAGAAATTCATTTATGTATAGCATTACTCTAACAAATTGCATCTTTCCCTCTTTTGAAATATCTCAATTTCATTTTCTCATTTTTCTTTTCTTTTTGATTGGCTCTCATTTTCATCTCCTTCTTCTTCTTCTTTTTTGTAATTCCTTTAATTTTTTTTTTTTTGAATGTTTTGTTTTGTAGCAAGTGGACCAAAGCATGTTTAATCTTTTGCTGATCAAGGTTACGTCCAAGGTCCTCAATTATCATTTTGTTGGTGATGGTGGCTTTGTGCTATTGTTGCCTCATTGATGAGTGTTCACATGATCGTTCATCATCTTCATCAGCTTTATTCTAGCACTTGAATAAATAATTGTCACTTTTTTCATTTGTTTAGATTGTATTATATAAAAAATGTGTTTATGTGAGATATTTCCAACTAAGATTGTGTGCTAGAATTGCCATTTATCCTTTTTTAAAATTATCAGTTTGTTGTATCTTTTCCTTTGAATTGCATGTGCATATAGTTCCTGCTCTTTAGTCATTGTCAAATTGTTGTTCAAAATTGACGTTTATGTTCCGTTTGTTTTTGCAGAAAGTGTTATCTATAGAAAATGTTTTACTATATTTGGTTGTGACTTTGAAATTGATAGGTTAGAAGAGAGATCAAATTGATTTGTTTGGATCTTTGTTTGTGTTTGGGGATAAAAGATTGTTTTCTTAGATTGTGGGAAGGTAGTTATAGACAAAGTGAGCACAAAAGGGAATACTACCTTATATCTCTGTAGATTCAATTGAGCTCAGCCACACCTGCAATATCTTTCTCCACCATTTTCAACACCACCAACACCCTCCAATTCCAAATTTCTCTAACGTTCACCATAATCTGTTGCGTCTGCCACCGGAATCCCTTATCCGAAGTAGCCTGATGCGAGGCCGAGTGAGATACAGTTCTTAAACCCTAGAGAGACAAAGTTGTTGTAATACTTGTTGTTAAACCATAAAGAGAGGGAAAAGTAAATAAATAAATAAATAAAATGATATAATTTTATATTTTTTTAAATCCTAACTAAAAAATAATAATTTATAATCAAACATCATACGAGAGATAATTAAAAATCTCATCAGTCATAACTAAAATATTGTCATAATTAAATTAAAAAAATTAATTATAACTAAAAAAAATGACATAACTAAGAGGGCGTGTAATACACCTCTTTAAATGGTGCGTGTAGTAAAATTTTCCAAACAAATGGACAATTACAAGATATTGTAACATTACACCAATTTATGTATATGTTGGGTAATCACATTTGGGAAATGGGGTGTGAAAAATCTGAAATCCCCGAGATATTGATTTATGATTATATATCAATTTTAACTAGTAAATAGTAATTCCAATCAAAGACAAATCGACATAACGATTTTACATAGAAAAACCACAATTGGAACGCCTCCAATTGTGATAAAAAACCACAGGCAAAAGCCATAAAACAATCCACTAAGAATACATAAAGGAATTATACAAGTGTACTCTCAATTATCTAGCGAATCCAAGCCCAAATCGAATCGACCCCTATGTGCCTCTTCTAGTCTCGTCTTCACCTCAGAATTGTCTTGCCCAACATTGAATCCACAGCACCGATATCGAATCCACGATGATGAGCCACTTCAGAATACACCAAAGCTTCAGACCCAAATTCCACGGAATCCACCAAAGAACATCTCTTTTCTGTATTGAATAAATAAAACAACCCCCTTTGATATAATCTACTCAATTCATGATATAAACTCTTACAGATATCAAAAGAAACAAGCAAAAAAACTCCAAATAAAAACTCTAATACCCAAGAAAAAGATCTGGAAGCCGTACCCTAGAAACTGAATTAATCGCAAATTTATAGAAAACAGAATTGCGATCTCTGCAGAACATGGATCTACGCTTGAGCGCAGGAAATGCCGTTTGAGCACAAAAACACAACTCCCAGTACTTTTGCAGACAGTTCAAACTTCTGGAACCAAAGATTCTTCGCTCGATCCCTAACATAGTCAGCGAAGTGGCAAACATGATAGGATTAAGATCTCACACTCCTCTGCAAGGCACAATTCGGGTTGGATTCGCATCTAAATACTCATAGCCTCACTGAAATAAAAGAACAAATAAAATTACAACTGAAAGGAGTTTTGTCAAATGGGCTTGCCAATAACAAAAACCTAACAGGGTGGGCACTGATGTGCGGTGGGCCCATTTCAAGTTCATTTTAATGATTCAAATTATTCATATTTAGAATATATCAAGTAAAACATGTCCATAAAAAAATCAAGTCAATTGGACATCATTAACTATTTTATCGAATTGCATATCTATAAAAATAAATGACAATTGTGATTTAAAGTATAAAATGAATACAAATGTGAGGAAATGAAAGGGTTAACGGTATCTCATTAACTTGATTTTTTTACAAGTAAGTTCTATCCAGTTTACTCTAAAATATGAATCGTTTGGATTATCGAAACAGGCTCCAAAATTAGCCCATATTGCCCCTACAATAATGGTTGCTATGTGTAGACACCCTATTTTTGACCGCCCTTAAAACTTGGGTGCCACTGATTGATCACTCAATGATGAATGCGTACGTTTGTCAAATGCTTGATTTCCTCAGTAGGAAACCTCAGTTTCACCTACAAACCTTGTGTTTTGTTTTGGATCAAAACAATAGTTTTTCAAGCCTGTTTACCCAAGGACCTGCAAACCCACTAGTGTGGCCTGCCGCCCACTTGTGCAAATTTTCAAATCTTTTTGTCAATTGTACCAGCTATCTCCACAGGTGCATGCACTGCACCAGCTATGTCTGTATAGATATTTCCGAGATAGTCTCATATATTTCTATATATAGATAACTCCTTCTCATTTTTTTGGGGTGAGAAAAATTGGAAAAGCAAAAAGTTTTGGAAATTATTTCTCTCTCTCTTGCAATTTACATAACCTTTGCCTAGACACTCTAAACCAAATCTTGAGGGTTCCTTGCTGAGGTGCTTAAGCTTGCATTTTAGCACCTGAGAGTGTGAATTTGGTGGTTTGTAATTCAAAGGGTCATTCCTCTTCAAGAGGTATAAATCCTAGCTCTTTTGTACCATCTTTTTCCTATCTTTTATTGTTGTTTTTGAGTTGTTTATTACCTGTATTTTTGGGCTGAAACTTGTTGTTTAAAGCCATTAAAGGCACATGGGTGGATCACCCTTCTTTGTACCTTGTTTCATAGGCTTTTACCCTTATGTTTCCCACCTTTTCATTATCTATTTTTTTTTTTTAGCTTTTTACCACTGAATTTCAGAGTTTTTCAGAGGCTAAAAATCATATTTTGAAGTCCCAAAAATGGAGGTGGTAGCCTCCCCTCCTTGTGTTTGTTTACTAGCTTGATTGCTCCATGTTTTTCGCTTATTGTTTTAGCTGTTTTTACTATAATTCTAGCACTTTTGAGCTAATTTAGGACTGTTTTTTATGTGTTAGTTTCATTTATGCTTTGTATTGCATGCTTGTAGTGTAATAGTCCTCATAGGTTTGATGGTTTAGGCTTTAGCCACCAACCTACTTGAGTTGATAGCATTTATTTTATATTTTTCATACTTGTGATCATCTTTAATCATCTTTGCACCTCTCTTATTTCTTGGCTCCTTTTGTTACCTTGAAAGTTGTTTCAAACCAATTACTTGTTTAAGCTTGAGATAGAGGTTTTGTGCTTAATGGTTTAATCCCTTTAGGGGTTCATTACCAACGGCATGACATCTCTCTCATGTCCAAAACAACCCTTTGTTTGATGCTTCTTTCCATTAGTGGACTTAAAACTCATTATTGGAATTAATGAACTAATGAATGAAAAGGTAATGTAAAAGAGGGTTAATAAAAGTGGGTTTAAAAGAGGTAACAAGATAATAATTTGGTGTTCAAGCGGACGTTAATTGAACACATGGAGACTTGAGTCATTTCATACTTGTTAGTGATGAAATGGTTCAAGTTTCCATGGTCAACACTTCTCTTGATCGAATCATGATAGGGAGGAGGTTTGTGAGTCTTTTATTGTCCATTTATTAAAATTGTATCCCTTGGTTCATAAGTCATCACGCAATGAAGTTACGTTGATTGATGGCTTACGAATCGAGCTTATCACTCCTTTGAGCTGTTTAATGATAAGGAGGGGTAGAGTGTGCAAACATTCCATGAGGATGCTCTGTTTGCGCTTTGTTTGCTCTCTGTTACAGCAAGAAAGAACCAACATTAGTGGCCAGCCGGCTAGCCACTACTTCTGGGCTGCCGGCCACTTTTGTCAACCAGGAAGTGTACTATTTTAGCAGAGCAGAGCAAAGCAAAAGTTGAGGTAGAAAGGCATTGTAATTTTCTAACTGTATAATAGAGGCATTCCGGTAACAAAACGGAGAGCATTTTGGGTGAAAATCCACATCCATGCATGAACCATCCCTCGATTCTCGGGATCCGTTGAGATAAATGTTGTACTATTAGTAGGTTGTACTTAAAGTTGTGAACTTTTAACTAACATAGTTAAATTAGTTAGAGTAGCTAGTTATGTGTTGTAATTATTTAATTAACTAGAATAGTTAATTAATTTGTAGTGTTGTAATAATTAGCCAGTATAGTAAGTTATTTTATTTGGTTTGTAATAGTTAGTTTATTAGGTAATTAATTAGTTAGGCTATTTATTCGGACCTTCCTGCGTGAGGGCAAACTTGTAATAATGTGTATGTCTTCCAACCCTACGTCTTTCTCCCTTTTATTTATTTGCTTACGATGGATAGCTTAGAACATCATGTTTCTTTTAGCATTTCCCATGTTTGCATATTCATTTGTCTTGCATGAATCAAGGCTCGGTTCATCATTCTAACGAGTATTGTCATTTATTACTTTGTTGAATACGCGTTTAAACCGCATGCTATCAAATTGATTAACATGTCATAATTAGTAGCTGAACCTATTAATTGCATATTGCATGTGTTGCATTAGGCATCTTTCATTAGTTATGATCATGCATTTTTCTAATTAGTTTCTCTTTTGGCTCGCCTCGGGAATTGGAGTAAGCTTTTATTGCTTTAGCATATCGCATGCGTGTGCTTGTTGTCATGTCAAGCATGATTACCATGAGGCTAATTGCTTAAATGATAAACTGTTTGAATTCCTGTGGATGAAGGCTAATTGCTTAAACTGGAGTAGTTTGACCAAAGTACATATGAGTTCACTTTTTCAAATGGCACATTCAAAACAATTTTCAAAAACAAACTGAAAATCGAAGTGTTCCAATTTTTGCAAATTTGTCTATACTTATGTGCAACAAATAGTAAAGTTAGCCTAATAATCGGAACAAGAGTATATAAGGTAAATAAGAATCACATCATGATTAGTAGAGGCCGAACTTCGATCGGGCGAGTGGGGTGCTCAATTCATGACATTCCCCTCTCGTACCTAAGTTCTTGAGCCGAGACACTCTTGTTGATGACGGATAAGTGGCCTTTGACATGAGTCCTGGGTTTCCTAAATTTTTCAAAAATATTTAGGTGGCGACTCTGTATCTGGTAATATAGTCCATTTTTGACATTTTGATTCAAAATCGATTTTTCAAAAGATTTGTCAGATTTGGACTCATTAGTGTTTATCTATTTCACATTGCACTTGTAAAATCAGATTTAGAACCACGGAAGTTCAAACTGTGGGGTTAGTCGTCTCCAAAAGGAG